CTGCCAGGTAAGCCCAGAGGGTCTATAAAGGCTCTCTCCAAGTACATAAGCTGATCGTTCATGATCCGTAGCTGAAGAGGACTGCACATACACAAAAAATACTATTACACCTCCATCTGAATTTCACTACATGTCAAGTCTCAAGACACATTTCAAGGAATGTATACAGTACAAAGATGCAGATAAATATAGTGAAGCTTTTGTTTAAGACGCCTGAAACTTTTAACCCGTTAAACACAATTCGTACTCCGCTTTGTTGAGAGTCTGAAGGCGCTCGTGGAAATCCCTGGCTGCAACAGTGAAGTTCTCGACTGCAGAAAAGAGAGAATCTAGAGAAAATAGATAAAATTAAAAAGTGTGCACCACATATACTGTGACAGCACTTCTGCAATCTTTGGGTCATGACATTATTGTATTAACAGTGACCATAACTCACCAAATGACACCTTATACGTCTCCATCTCCCTCAAGTTCTTCTGGGCCAGCTGTGCTATGCTCTGTGCATATTTCCTCAGTGAATCTGCATACTCATTAACATCCAGAGGGAGCAGCTGGGAGTCAGCCAACAGGAAGATGAGTGCACCTCTCACCTGGGCCACCGCCTGAAGCCTCTTAAACGAGGGGTCGTAGAACTTCTCCACGATCTCGAAGGTTTCATACACACTGTGATAGACTGGATAGCTACTGTAGCGCTCTGTTTTCTGAATGGACACATAAAATACTTCACCATGAGTCCATGCTTGCTCACAGTTACTTAACCTCTACAATAAAGACCCTTCAGTCTGTTATTCTTATTCGCCTCTTATTCTCACTAAGATACTCCACCCTTTGGTAAAGCCAAACTTTCAATAACATCGATCTTGAATAAAACACAGTAGATTTACATTGTAGTAGAAAATAAAAATGCAAATATAAAGAACTCTGGATATACAAACGCTTACACTATGAATAGAGCAAAAGCACATAGCCATATACCTTAATTGTGGTAAAAACAAATAACTATATGGATAGATGTGGGAGTGCAGCATGTCTCACCGCGTTCTTGGTGTATCGAGCTCTGCCTGAAGCAATTCCCAGACGGATAAAATAGGCCTCGAAATCACTGCCTGACCCAAGTTTACTGATCCTACGAAACACCAGGATTGAGCCATATAAGTGAAAAATGAGCGAGACTCTTCATATTCAAAATTTAACTTAACCTCCTAAGACCTGAACTCTTCCGTGGCATGCATTTTTTTTAATTTGGGCATATTGGGACCCAATGTATGTAAAAACAAAG